ACCTTGAGAAAATGCTCTGTACCTCATTAAATTGTCCAATAGAATCCCTGTAACTATGCTTTTCGCTTCTGCACTGTGCTTTTTGCTATATAAGGACCTCTCTCCCTTGGCTCGGGCCGCTTAGCCATACAGAAGCTAAGTCTCCCCGGGTACCCGAGTATCCAATAAAACCTCTTGCGGTTTTGCATCCAAGTCCGTGGTCTCGCTGATTCCTGGGTGCGGGTCTCCTTCTACGAAAGTACCTCTTCTGGGGTCTTTCAGTGGGTACACCTTATTGTTTGGCAATTTTGACGAGCAGTCTCTCTAGTTAAACCGAATTGTTTTCTTAGAGCTTTTGTTATTTAATGATGAAAGTTATGAGACTGTAGAGTTCTCTCTATTTAAGACAAATTGATCAATTTTATCTGTTGATTTGTTCCCTTTAGCCAGTAGGTAGGGAAAGGCCTGAATGGGCTTCCTAATGTGACCCAAACAAAACATGGCAATTTTTGTAGGTGAATTATATTTTGAATTTGTTTAAATAACATTTTCAAACTGATAATTATCATTTTTTTATGTATAGAATTGTCTCTATTACTTAAAGAGCCTTAAAAACATGATTATTAGTATACAAATTAAATGAATCATTTTATTAGACGCTGAAAGACCATTGCAACATCTTGTAATGACCTGAGCTGTGGTTGGAGTAGTCTCTTCTGTATATTTTTTACCATTTAAAAGTTGTTCTTATGTTAGAAGAACCATCAGTAAAAATTGACATAGTAGTTTATAAGATTGTTTCTTACTATTTTTGGGAAAAAATGTATTAGTATAAACTGTAACAGTCTATGGGCTGTAATTGATTATCAATGTTCCCTGAAAATTTAGCAAAAACAATTGCCCAATGAATCATTATTTAGAAATAACCAACCAATTTGTTGCTTGACATAAGTAACATCATTTTTTTTTATCTTTAAGCCTTAAATTCTTTAGAATTTAGCATATGTCCCAAACAATTTTTGAAAATTTACTTAAAGGTTTTTGAGCAGCCTTTTCTAATTCATCCTGTTAAACTTTTTACTAGCTGACATTAAAAATTTAGGAGGATTTTTGTATCCTCTCCTCTGCCAAATTTCATAGAATTGTCCACATAGATCTCCCTTTGCCCCTAAGTAAACGGGGCTGATTGGATGCTCTTTTTAATTATATTTAAGGCAATTTAGGTGGCTTTTTAACTATATCTGAAGTAATTTATGTACATATATATGTGCACATACATGTACACATTTGTAAATCGTATCCAAGGCAATTTAAGTAGTTTTTTTGGTCAGCATTCACACATTTACAATCACATATCATGTATTCAGGTGTGGCCACACCGTACATACAGAGCAAGCACACATTTTTTATCTCTCCTTTTGCCCAGCTTATGACCAGTCTGTTGAAATGAAAAATCCCTAATTGAAATCACTTGTAACAAAGCCAATTATAACTATAGCCAATTCTTGAATTATGAGCATCCAAAATTTAAATATATCCAAATTTTTCTATGCTGTCTTTCTTTTTCCATAAGGTCTTAAAACAGTTTTCTGACTGGCTGTATTAATAGTAATTTCTATATATTTGATTGGTTATCAGTGAGACAGAGAAGGGAGTAGCTTCCAAAGGCTGCAAGTGTTTTGGCTTTGGCCCTTGCCTCCCTTGCCTTTTGCCCTCTGGGCTTGGGTTGACCTGTTATAAATGATCTGTGGCTGCCTGCTGTGGCTGTAAATCTCTTATCTTTTGTGAGAATAATTTGGCTAAATCCTTAAAGTCTCCTGGCCTTTGCTGAACTCCACCACTAGCTCATTGCCTCTCTGTATTTCCAGTTAAAAATGAGGGAGGTGCGTAGTTTAATTCTGTGGGATTAGTACCTGTTGATGGTGTAGTTCGTACCCCAGATACATATATGGTTTAGCAGTTTGAATTTTATCAGGTATTATTTGAAGCCCTCTTTGAGTTAGGCTAGAAGTTAAATCTTACAAGCACAGGGAAAGTTGCTTCTGCTGGGCAGCAGCCAAAGAATGTAAACAGAAGGCCACTTTTTTCTAATAGGATTAACAGCAACAAATTTTTAGTATAAGGTGGGGCTGTTGGCCATACCCTGAAGGCAAAACCTTTCATTGGTATGGAGGCATCGGGCCCTGGAAATTAACCTGGGGAACAGTAAAGGCAAAGTGAGGCTTATCCTCAGGGTGTAGGGGAATGGTGAAAAACCAGTTTTAAAGATCTTGTCTCGGGAGGCAGAGGCAGGTAGATCTCTGTGAGTTTGAGACCAGCCTGGTCTACAAGAGCTAGTACCAGGACAGCCTCCAAAGCCACAGAGAAAGCCTGTCTCCAAAAACCAAAAAAAAAAAAAAAAAAAAAAGATCTTGGGGCTCAGGGCTGGCTCCGTTGGAAGTTTCCCTGTTGTCGTGGGGGTAAGAGTTAGTTTTAGATCTGCAGCCCAATGTTTGCCTTTGTGGCAAAGCGAGCATACAGTAGGGGGAGGCAGCAGACCTGAAGCTGTAATTGCAGAAGTTCAGGGAGCAGGGCATTCTCTAAAGAAGTGACCATGTTGTTTGTAATTAAAGCAAGTTTTTGGTTGTTGATTAAAGGCCAAATGTTTAACAAACAGACAGGTTTTAGGAGATGCTTTCTTTTGATTGCGGTGAGCAACGTCCCTGCAATTCTCCATAAACTCAATTTTGCATAAGACAAAATCTCCTCCTGAGAGGGAAGCATGCACTAGCTGCTAGCCGGTGCTGGTAGTTAGGGAGTAACCATTTGTCACTTTAACTCTACAGGAGGGTCAGGGTGCCTGGGGCAATGGGTACCTAGTTAGAAGGACAAGTTGAACTGAATGGGAAGCTGCTCTGGATGGGAGGCGGGAATTTTTCTTTACCAACTCTCTTTTATCTATTTACATCAATGGTGGTTCCCTCTTGGGGGAACCTAGGACAGAGATTCCCTATGTAATCTAAATATTTATTAAATCTTTTTTCTTAACCCTAGTTCCTCGCGTCTTGTCTGAAGACAGACACAGGAACCTTTTCTGGTCCAAAGACTTCATAGTAATCTTGTAGGCAATTACTTACTCTAGCCCATTTGATTTCATTAATCGTCCCTTCCTGTGGAAACCAAGGACAGAGGTCTCCAACAAAGATGAAAAAATTCCTTAAAAATTGTTTCTGTTTAATCCGGGTCCCTCTTGTCTTGAGGGATTCTTTGATCCCAGAAAGATCCAAATCTTCCTTGTTAAGTGCTTGTCCCATTACTCACTGCTGCCTCAGGTGGTGTTCATGAACCCAAAGATCCCGAGCACTGGGTAAGGCTGCTGGGTGTCTTCCCCTTGAGGCCCACAATCGACCTTGTCGTGGGTGCCTCAGTGTGTGGACAGCCCCGTCCCTCTAATGAACACTGAAATTCTCCTCTCCTGGAATAGTCCAGCCCCACGTTGCGGGCTCCAGTTGTAGTTGTCCCAACCAGAAGGACAGCAACCTAGAGCAAGAAGTCCAGGGAGGGGAATGGGGACAAGAGACACGAGAGAATGACCACAAGACAGGATTCTGATCAAGTAGCAAATTTTATTTTTTCCAGGGTAGCTTATATAGTCAGTAGTATGGGGTAAAGGGGAGGGGGAGAAAAGGCCAAGAGCCAGGTGTTAGTTTAAGCAGGATGTTAGAAAACTATAGAAAGAGGATATTGGCAGGGTAAAAAGTTCATGGGTGATGGGGAGAGCAAGGGTTATCTAGGTGAGTGGTGGGAAGAAGGAAGGTTGCTTAGGTAAGTAGTGGGATGCAGGAGGTTTGCTTAGGTAAGTGGGCTTGTGGTTGGAACAAAGGATTGATGTGTGGGTCATGTTGTTCCTTCTGGGTGCTCATGCTTCTAGAAGCCCTTTATAATCAAAAGACAGTTCTATAACTATATGGCTTGCCAAGTTTGGCCTAAAGGTTCATGCCAAGCTGTATGGCTCCCAACAGAGGAAAAGCTTGTCTTAAAAAACCAACAACAACAACAACAACAAGGGCAGTGGTATATTGCTTTCTATTATACTTATGAAAGTTATATTTATTGCTCTACAAAAGTAAATAAGAGCTGTAAAATCTGCTGCCCCCCCCCACCATAACCTCTCTTCCTCTAAAATGAACACTGCTGAAACTAGAAAATGTAATCTATTTGGGAGGCTATTTGGGAGGCTAAGGCAGAAGGATCATTATTTGAAGCCACCTGGCTGGCCTGAGTATATAGTAAAAACCTGTCTTAAAAAAAAAAAAAAAAAAAAACAAGACTGCAGAACCTGGAAAAGCTGTTGCTGCTATTGATGCATAACATATTGCCATTATTGCTCTTTTTATATAAATATAAATATATATATATGTATATACAAAAAACCAACAACAACAAACAGGGCTGGAGAGGTGGCTCAACAGTGAAAAGCACTGAGCACTGACTGCTCTTCCAGAGGTCCTGAGTTCAATTCCCAGCAACCACATGTTGGGCTCACAACCATCTGTAATGAGATCTGATGCCCTCTTCTGGCATGCAGGCATACATGCAGGTAGAACACTGTATATTCAATAAATAAATAAAATAAATCTTTAAAAAATGTAAAACAAACAAAAATGCTATTAAAAAGTATGTTTTATGCTTGTATAAACACAGGCAGATAGACACATTTTTATATATGTGTGTATGAATTATATGCATGGTGTATGTGTGCATATTCGCTTGTGTAAGTCCAGGTATATGTGTGCCATGGTGCAATTGTGCAGACTGGAGGGCAATCTTGGATGTTGG